TTTGTAATATAACAACAAGAACAAGAAAGTTGAACATGTAATACAAATAAAGTTCTTCCACATTTCTTCATTATACTTAGAGANTTTTTCGTTTCTTTCGAGTATNTCGGGGTTGTACGGTNTTGGGCTAGTGCTAGTGTTAAGCACTATCATTAGGTTTCTCTACATGGTATCAGAGCCATTGTGCTCATCAAGATCGGGGTTCAAAGAGAGCTTGGGTTTACTCTAAGTATGGAATCAACGGAGGTCGTGTTGTTGGATTGGGAATGGAGATCTTAAACCAATCTAACTATCGATTATGGAAGTCATGTATGGAGTCATACTTGCTTAGTGAGGACTTATGGGATGTCGTCAGCGGTAGTAGCACAACACCACCAAGGGGAGCTGCTGCGACAGCGGAAGCGACAAAGGAGCGGACACGGAAGAATGCCAAGGCGGAGTTTGCGTTAAAGAGGTCAATATCCTCAGGAGTATTTGAGCATGTCTCAAGGTGCAGTTCCGCAAGTTCTATTTGGCGGCCGTTAGATCAATTGTTCAACAAGAAGAATGAAGCTCGACTACAGTTGTTAGAGAACGAGCTAGCAAATGCGAAGCAGGGGGGGTCTTCTATCTCAGAGTTCTTCATTAAGGTAAAGAACCTTTGCTCTGAGATTAATACTCTTAATCCTGAGGAGACAATTTCGGAGGCTCGATTAAAACGGTCTATTATTCGAGGTCTACGACCCGAATATACACCATTTGTGACTTCGGTTCAAGGATGGCCTACTCAACCTNCCTTGGAGGAGTTTGAAAATTTGTTAGCTTCGCAAGAATCCTTAGTCATGCAAATGGCGGGAGTTAAAGTCCATGATGACTCGGGGAGTGCGTTTATAGCTCGGGGACAGCATAGCTTCAAAGCTAAACCTAAGGATGATGGTTCAAAGAATAATGATCGAAGAGAAGGATCTTCTATGGCATATAAGAAACGTCTTAAGTGCTACCGGTGTGGGAAACTTGGGCATTTCAAAAAGGATTGTCGAGTCAAGCTAAAGGAAACAAATATGTCAAAATCAAAAAATCATACTAAAGACAAAGAATGGGGAAGTTGTTTCACGGTGGAGGCTGCATGTCCAGGTATATCTACAACCAAAAATTTAGAAAATGGTTGGATTGTAGATTCTNGTTGTAGCCATCATATTACCGGAGACGAGAAGTTATTTTCAAGTCTTCANCAAAATGATGGGAAAGAAGCCATTATTACCGCAGATAATTCAGTCCACGGAGTTGAGAAGGAAGGAAGTGTTGTCATTAAAGAAGATGATGGAAGTCCTATCACACTCAAGAACGTAT